TTTTTTTTTTTTTCTTTTTTTCCCCTCAGTATGTAAGGCTTAGAGTTGAACTCTGCTCTGTTGCTCCCACTCAATGTATCCCAAATATTATCAGCAGTTTTCATCCTTTTTCTCTGTTGTGTGTGCCAGGAAATATCAAGTAAAAATGGGAACTACCTGCTGGCTTTAAAGCAGTTCAGTTTATTTCTCAAGCAAGCTTAAGAGAGTGTCAGAGTTGGAGCCAAGTCACCAAGCTGCTCTGAGTGGATTGGAACAAACTTTGTGTTATTATTTCCAATTTCCAACCAATAAATATTAAAAGATGCTTGGATCTTATTTGTCTATAGAACCTGTAGCATTTTTTTTTTCCTCATGGCTTTTTTATTTTGGTGATCTTTTTTTAAAAAAAATAAAGCTTTCTGTGCTTCAAAAATTTTATTATATGGTGACATGTGTTTGCCACTGCTCATGTCAGCAAGTTTCATATGGCCATGTCTTTCCTAGTTTTATAGTTGTAAAGGTTTAGTTGCAAATGTGTTGCAACTGTATAAACCTAAAAAAGTTCCAATATCTATGTTTTTCTCTCCTGTGGACAGCTGATCAGTATCTTCCAGACACCATGAATCATGTTCTCAGCTGTGTGAAGAAGGAGAAGGAGCGAACAGCAGCCTTCCAGGCCTTGGGTTTGCTTTCTGTGGCTGTGAGGTCTGAGTTTCAAGCCTACCTGCCAAAAGTCCTTGAAATCATAAAAGCAGCTCTCCCACCAAAGGACTTTGCCCACAAGTAAGTATGTGGAGGTTAGAGGAAGAAACTGAAACACCCATTCTTCCTATAGTTTTTGTGATGTGGGATCAAATGATTGTATTGAAGTCAGAGGTATTTCTGTAAGACTGATAACACAGAAGTGGGAAGAGGAAGTAATTAATTTGTATGTGGTCTCTTTCCAGGAGACAGAAGTCTGTGCAGGTTGATGCCACAGTCTTCACCTGCATTAGTATGCTGGCACGAGCCATGGGACCCAGTATCCAGCAGGACATCAAAGAGCTTTTGGAACCTATGCTAGCTGTGGGCCTGAGGTAGGCACTAGGCATGGGAGCACATTTTTTCTGTTAGCCACTGGATGGCATTGTTGGCCATACAGAATGAGACCTTGAAAGTCTTCAGATTGAGAAGAAAGGTTATTGCTTTTAAATGATCTTTCAAAAGATCAGTACAGCTCTTTCAGAAGAATATGTTTTAAGTGTTAAAATGTCTGTTGAATAGTAATTCAAGAGAGCATTGATCTCTGTGTAAAGAAATCTTTATGTAGAACAACTAATGAATTCAAAAGCAATCTCCTTTACTTTCCGCTATTCAAACAGATTTGGCAACAGCCTGCAAAAAATTTAGAAAGCCTCTGAAGGCCAGCAGATTTCTGCTGTATCACATTGGCAGGGAAGGAAAATTGAAGCGCTGAATTAATTGCTCGTAGCTGCTTTCATCTTTGGAGTGGACAGTTCCTACTGGAAATTTGCTAGCTCATGAAGATGTTAGCATGGGAGGGTACAGAGAAAGTATCCAGGCAGCACAAAGCTGTTTAGATTAGATTAGACTACCATCTGAAAATGAATTTAGTTTCTTTTGTGTCTAAAAAGCACAAGTACAAGGAATCACTTAGATTTGTAACAAAATTCTAACAATATTGCCTAATGTAGTAATGTGTGCTGCAGTCCCAGCAGCTTGCTCACCAAAGGTCATCTCATGTGCCTTAGTTCACACAAGGACCCCTGGGCTGTGCTGGCAGATATTGCTATGATGTGTGAATGCCCACAACTATCTTCTCATGGGCAAAGCTTAAACAAAAAGGTGAAATATGCACCTCATTGTTTCTATTCTAATGACTATCTGCTCTACTTGCCCTCAGCCCTGCTCTAACGGCTGTGCTGTATGACTTGAGTCGTCAGATCCCTCAGCTAAAGAAGGATATCCAGGATGGGCTGCTGAAAATGCTCTCCCTTGTTCTAATGCACAAGCCTCTGCGACATCCAGGCATGCCAAAGGGCCTTGCCCACCAGCTTGCCTCCCCTAGCCTCACCAACATCCCAGAGGCCAGCGATGTGGGTAGCATCACCCTTGCCCTTCGTACGCTGGGTAGCTTTGAGTTTGAAGGTAAGATGAAATATGGAAGTGGGGGGCCAGGGGGAATGGGACGTAAACACTAGTGTGTTGGAGTAGAGTGCAAGTAGCAGGAAAACTCTGAGAGCACTTTCTTTAAACTCCTGTTCCCTGGTAAGACTTGTAGTTGAGGTGTAAACGTGTGCCAGACTCCCCATCTTCTTCTTTTTAGGCCACTCTCTGACTCAGTTTGTTCGGCACTGCGCAGACCACTTTCTGAACAGCGAACACAAGGAGATCCGGATGGAAGCAGCCCGCACTTGCTCTCGTTTGCTCACACCTTCCATCCACTTGATCAGTGGTCATGCCCATGTGGTCAGTCAGACAGCTGTGCAGGTTGTGGCTGACGTTCTCAGCAAGCTGCTTGTCGTTGGAATAACTGACCCAGGTTAGTGGGGGGCTTGGAGAAAGGGGCTCTCCTACCACATATTAATTTTAGCACGTGAGCAGGTCATGATAGTAAGATTGTGGCAGAATTTGAACATATTTGCTACTAACTCAAGCTGTCATTCCTTACAGATTAAAAAAGCCTACTAATTTCTCTTCCCAGATGTTGATTTTTGAGGTATTAATAGAACATCAGTGCAAAATGCTCAAACTGTGCCCTTGGTAATCCTTTGAACTAGGTAGAGCCCTGAGAATTCTTTTGCTGTTGTTCTATGTCATGGCCTTCAACTTTGTAGTTTGGGAAGGGATTGGTCCCTTCTGTTGAATCTTCCTACTTGATTTTTTTATTCTTTCAGTTTCAATATGGTAAGCTGAGATAAGTTCATGTTCTGTACACTGCCTTCAAATGTGCCACTTGTAGATGCAAGAGGTTGGCATTGTACTGATCTCGGTATTGGGACAGAACTGAGCAGCACTGAATCCGTTGGGCTGACGTACTGTTTCTCATGTGTAAAACTGATGCATAGTGTCCCGTGCTGGGGAAGAAGCTCTTGGCATTTCCCTGAGGTTGTGAAGAATTTTTTAGGCCAATTTGTGTTTAAGAGCAATGATAAGAATAGGAGTTTACTGCATTTAAAGAGTAACAAATGTGTTCTTGCAGACCCTGATATACGTTTCTGTGTGTTGGCTTCTCTGGATGAGCGATTTGATGCTCACCTTGCCCAGGCAGAAAATTTGCAAGCTCTTTTTGTGGCACTGAATGATCAAGTGTTTGAAATCCGAGAGCTGGCCATCTGTACTGTGGGTCGCCTGAGCAGCATGAACCCTGCTTTTGTCATGCCCTTCCTGCGCAAGATGTTAATCCAGGTAATGAAGAGGGATGCCTGCAGTGAAAATAGAGTACTTGGTATTGAGATTATAATGCTGTTAAAATGGGCTATCTAGCTGTAGTGAATGTGTGGGAGAGTGGGGGAATATCTCCCTTTTGGAAAACATTTATTACCCAGCTTAGTAG